AAGGAGGGGCGGTGCCCACTGGGACGGTTGACCTCGCTTTACACATGACGTGCGTTTTCCCAAAGGCGGAGTGGAAATCCGATTCTGTGCACCAAAATCGTAGCTGTCGTGTTAATGTGTGTAAAATAAGATTTTCATAAAAGCTATAAAAGCTTCAACTAGTCCACTGCAAGTTGAAGTTGACCCGAAGTTAAATATTTGTGCGTCTTTCATTAAATATGAATCAATGGTTCATACTTGAGTTCAACCAGTACCGATACACCCTGCATTGAAGGAAAGCACAGAACATCATTGTGTCCGTGATCTCGGACCTGGTCCTGGGCTAAGACCAAGATCAGGCCCCTTTGTCTCCAAATTTCCTGTTGCTTTCACTATACGGCAGCATAAGTTTGGAAACAGGACACAAATCTCCCGGTTCTTCGTGGGATAAAGAATAATTACTACATCGCTCTCTCGGTCATACTTTGTTACCCTGATTGGGCACAAGCTTGTCTCTCGGTTTTAGGGGAAGCTGTGATCCTCCCCAAAGATAACACTGGCTTATCACTGAATTGAATGCCCCAATCCCCGGCTGTAAGCCAGTATTTCAAACATGGCAGAAATTTTCTCTCTCTCTTTTTAAAAACCATGGTTCACATCCAAGTTCATCAAAAGGCCTTGAAGGGTCACATTACAATGCCAAGACAGCGTGTGGAGTCCAGTAGTTGAGGACCTTATTGTGAAGGCAGCCTAGAAGTGGCTTTTAGATTAAGAGAACAGCTGAGATCCTAACAGAAAAACAGAGAGAAGTCAAGACCTGCCCTTCTTTAAAAATGATCCAGGTTCCTTACCACAGTCCAAAATGACAATGTCATCAGCCAAAAGATGCTTTTGACCTCTGGTCCAACACTACTCATTCTTGCTTTAAAGCTTTTCTGGGATGGCCACAAAACTCTTAAAGATAGTAATTGTATTTCTTTTTTTTTTTAATTGATTTTTTTACAGAGAGGAAGAGAGAGAGATAGAGAGTTAGAAACATCGGTGAGAGAGAAACACTGATCAGCTGCCTCCTGCACATCTCCTACTGGGGATGTGCCCGCAACCCAGGTACATGCCCTTGACCGGAATCCAACCTGGGACCTTTCAGTCTGCAGGCCGATGCTCTATCCACTGAGCCAAACCGGTTTGGGCAATTGTATTTCTTAAATCTTGTTATAATTCTGACATTACAGAATATTGTATCTATGCTTTAAGTAGATGTCTTTCATTTAATTAAATAACCATCAAAATAAGATGGTTCTAGAATAGATGGTTCTAGCGTCATCTTCTGAGGGTGGCTCTGCTCTGAGGAAGGAGATGTTTGCCTTCAAGGCTCCTTCTTTCAGCAGAAGGAAACACACACATTGTAGCTAGTGTTAGCTTAGTCACTGCTGAAACAGGGAGGTGACTGCCAAGAATCTAGGTGTATGAAGTGCTTCAGCCTCCCCTGAGATGCCATGAGTTTCCAAAACTATCTATATAATAAAAGGCTAATATGCAAATTGTCCCCAGTTTGACCAGGGGGTGGGGCCATCCGGCCAACCGCCTGTGGTCCCTCCCCCAGCCCAATCGGCCTGGACTCCACCTGTGCATGAATTCGTGCACTGGGCCTCTAGTCTATAATAATAAAAGCATAATATGCTAATTAGACCAGACATCCTTCTGGATGAAGCCGGGGCTTCGAGGGAAGCCCGGGTCCTGGGTGCCAGGGGGAAGCCGGTGCTGGCAGCCAGGGGAAGGAAGGCCTACTCTTGCACAAATTTCATGCATTGGGCCTTTAGTCTAACAATAATAGATACTAATATTTACTCTTTGATGCCATGACTTGAGGAAGCTAGTCTTTGTGGTTCTATTTCAATTCTTTTAGAACATTCGATTTTTTTTAATGCTAAAGATCTACGTATATTGTGTCATTTTCATGCATTCATGACTCAGAACTGACTTTTTGGTTTCCAAGGACAAAAAGAGTCATTCTCTGAAAACTACATATTTTAATTATGTTCTGTTCTTTTCTAGAAGCTCCTATTCAGGGCCTTTGAGTCATGTTAGAACTCCTGAATATTTGCTTCAAGGTTTTCCAACACTTCTTGGCATTTACCTATATCACTGAACTCTTGGCTTTCCAGTTTCTTATAACTACAGCTTTTGTTTCTATGTGTTAAGGAAAGATTATCCTTTGAAAAATGTAACCATCCCAAAACATAAGGTTCACATTTTCTCTGAAGTCTTTCTTAATAAACCTCTCTTGGCTTTGTGTCAGCCCCATTGCCCTAAGCCATCCCTCAGTATCCCATGTTCACACACCTCTCCAACATTTGAAATTTTTTTTATAGGTCTGTTAATGTCTAATTGTATATATTCATTATCCTAATTCTCCTCCTAACTTACCTCTTCAAATAACCACCCCCTCAAGGAAGACATCCAGTGTCCTTAGAACATCCAATAAGCCAAATATAACTACCCAATGGGTAAAGAAGGTGATGTATATTATCAAGGAAGATCAGAGAAATTAATTAGAACTGGAAAGAGAGATCATGAAAGCATGTAAAGATAGAAAACAGAAAGACACTGTACATCATTAAGATCCTCCGGTGTCATGCCTATGGATTGGTGGGTGGTGGATTGTTCCCCAGAGAAGTGTACTAAGCTCTTCCATGTGCAAGGAGGTGTACATGCCTTGGAGTAGGACACATGACCAGCTCTGTAAAAGGAAGCAGGTGTTTCAGTCCAATTTCTAACTCCTCCACTGACTCACTATCAGATGGTGAACAACCATCTTCATTCCTCAATGTTTGTTTCTATTTGCAAATAAGGCATTTACATTTTCACTCACTCTCTCGCTAATTTAATAGCTTTAAGTCCTTCTCTCCTGAATTTGAGACTCATAGAGCCACTCAATGACTCTACATCTTCATTTGCATGTGTCTCTTGGACATCTTATACTTAATATATACAAAACAAAACTCTTAATTCTCACCACCCCAAGCTGAATCCACTCTATTTCAGTAAATGGCAATTATATCCTTCCAAAAAATCTTGACTTTGACTTATCTGTCACACATCATCTCCACTCCATCAGCAAATTTTGTCAGCTCTATTTTCAGAATATATTTAGAGTACATACAATTGCTTCCCACCACCGGCACAGGCACCATCTTGGTCTAAGAAGTCATCATCTTTCACCTGGATTATCACAATAGCCTCTTAACCCTTCCCCTTGCTTCCCTCCTAAACCCCTTATAGTTTACTGTCTACACAGAAGCTAGCCTGATCACTTAAAAAGGAGAGTTATATCACATCACACCTCCGCTTAACATGAAATTCAAAAGCTCAACACTTTTGGTTTCAATCTCCTTTATCTCACCTCATAACATACTCTGTCTTGTTTTTTCCGCTCCAGCCACAAGAGTTTCCTTCCTGCTCCTAGATTTGCCAACCACTTTATCTAATTAGCATTCTATCACTCTCTTGTCACCAACCCTGTTTTATTTTTCTAAACAGCACCCATCATTACCTGACATTTATTTATTTATATTTTTAAAAATATATATATATTTTATTGGTTTTGTACAGAGAGGAAGGGAGAGGGATAGAGACTTAGAAACATCCATGAGAGAGAAACATTGATCAGCTACCTCCTGCACACCCCCAGCCAAGGTACATGCCCTTGACGGGAATCGAACCTGGGATTCTTCAGTCCACAGGCCGACGCTCTCTAGCCACTGAGCCAAACTGGTCAGGGCTGACATTTATTTTTTATCTCGTTTCACTAGAATATGAACCCCATGAGAGCAGAGGTGTCTGTTCTGTTCACTGGTTTTCCCAAATCCTAGAACAGTGTTGCTATACACAACAATAATTTTTGGTATGAAATTCATTAAAATGAATTTTTTTCATTTCATTGAAAACAAGCAAGTAAACTAAAAACTATTTTGGTTGCTCAGACACACGATTTAAAAATAACAAAAATAATTTTAGAATGAAGTTAGATTCCACAGCATCTATCAGGAATTTCAACTATAGGAAATGAGGCATGACAATGTTCAAATATACAGGCCTTTCAGATGCATCAGAATCACAGGCATGTGGCAAGGATCATGTGCCCAATTAAGCAAATATTCTTGTTACATATTCACCAGCTCATAAACATATGATGATAGAGAGCCCTGATGACATCACTGGAAATCCTGAAGGCTCAGGCAGATGACACACACACACAGAGCTTATGCTGCGATTGCTGCATCTCACACTGATTACCAAAGAAGCCCATCTCATGATCAGCTATCGGGGGAATTCTCCGAGTCTGATAGTCACCTCTAACTCCTCTGCTTGTTAAGGTTAAGGGATCTCTTCGTGATCGGTGTAATGTTACAGTCCTCGAATGCACATTTCTGATAACTCTTCTTAAATATTTATTCAAACACGTATTCATGAATAAAGGAAAGAAACTGGATTTGTTTAAATTCAATTTCTAGGTCCAAGCCAACCTATTATGGCTCTTCTTAATACTGAACCCTATGGAGCCCCCAACCTGTTACTCCACATAATACTTCCCAAACCGTCAATGCCCAACAGAACCCCCCTCCCCGCCATCACTAACCACCAGAGACTCCTTTTCTGTCATTCATTACCCACCCCCCGCCCGCCCCCCCCCCTCCAAATACCCCTCTTGTCACTAAGGCCCCAGTCAGACTTCCCTCTGTAAGAGCCCTATCCTATCAGCCGGACCCTCAACCTCTCCTTCCCGTTAGCAACGTCACCGAGACCCGACTCCTATTACCCATTCCCGAATATCTCCTCCCACGTCGCCAGTGTCGCTCACGGACGCCCCTGACTCCCACGTCATCAACTCCATTCCCGAGTTGACACCCCGCGGCGCCCTCCCCTGCCCCGCCCCTGGCGTGCGGCCCCACCCCTTGGCGCGGCCACCGGACCAACAGCGCCGGAAGCCCCGCCCCCGGCCGGTTGCTAGGCTCCGGCAGCCGGAAGTCCCGCCTGTCGTGTAGTCACCGCCGCCGCCGCCGCTGTCGTTGTTGTTGTGGTTGGTGCTCTGAGCTCCGCGGCTCCGAGAGCCGGCTGCGTCCCTTCCCCGCCGCCGCCATGAAGTGGATGTTTAAGGAGGACCACTCGCTGGGTAAGAATCCGGACACTGGCCGGGCCGTGGGGGCCGGCGCGGCGGGTGGGCCCCCTCCCCCACTCGGGCCGCCCTGGGCTGGGCCGGGCAGGGCGGTTGCAGCTCTTTGGGCTGGCGTCTCCGAGGTCCCGGTCCCCCGATCGGCCCACAGACCCCGTGCCGCCTTCGGGAGGACCTCTCGGTATCAGGAGACCGAGGCCGCGGGCACGCCGGAACCAGGGCCCAGGACGTGCGTAGGTCGCGGGGGAGGAAGGTTGGGGGCCTGGGGACCGGCCGCTGGCAGGCAGGCGCGACAGTCATCCTGGTGTTTCTCCCCCAGAACACAGATGCGTGGAATCCGCGAAGATCCGAGCGAAATATCCCGACCGGGTTCCGGTGAGTGGACTCCCCGCCCCTTCACCTCACTGTCACCTCTGTCTTCTAGGACTCGTGATGGGGCCCGAACCATTCAAGAGTTGACAACTTGAGGTTCCAGCCCCGGTTACAGTAGCCGACTGGACAGACGGGGTTGGGGGTAATCCGGGACTTGAACTTGAGGGGCTGGGGCTGGAGCTGGCGCTGTTTAGGGTGCTTCAGTGCTGAATCTCCCGATCTAGGCCAGTGAGCTGCCTGCAGTCTCTGGGCTCCCTGGCCAATTATATAAGGAACGATATTCTAGGACAGGGCAACAGGTCACTGCCACTTTGGGGAACGGTGGTGGAGGGAGCCTGTCACTTTGGTCTTGGAAGTGGTACTTTAGTCTCAGGACGACAGTCTCATCTTTAACTTTGAGCCCCCATGTTTACCTGACTAATAGCTCCCTTTTCTCACCCCCGCCCTGTCATCCTTTCCTGACCAAAAAAAAAAATTCTGAGAAGCCGCTGAAAACCCCTTCTCCCTTGGTTTCCCCTTCATCTATAATAAATATGATGCTATATTTCTTCCATCATAGGGGAGATGGTTTCTGCAATCCCTATTGATTTTTAAAGGACAGCAGGCCTGTTATTGTAGCTCATTGCTTGTGAACCCTTCCTTAGGAGATGGGGCTGGAGGGACACATTTGAAACCCAGTTCAGAGAAAAGCAACAGGCCGCATGAAGAGCATGGTTCCTGGCTGGCTGGGATTGCCAATCGTTCCCATTAGTCCATCCTTTCTCATTTCCTGTGTTCCTGGGATCTTGATTCCCCTGCAGTGTGAAGGCAGATCCATACTGGGGTGCAGGAATAATAGGCTGTAGATGAAACTCCCACCAGATATTCTTGGGTCTGCCCAGACAAAACGTGGAAGGCTTTGTATTAAAAGCTGTACTTCTCTTACGCATGCAGAGATCAGAGATGAGAAATGTAATAATCGACCACAGAAGCACTTACTGTTCCCTTCTAACATATTTATATCGGTTTTTAACCTCCACTATGTGTGGTTTATTAAGCTAGGGGCATATTTCTTTATGTGATGCAGTTCCCCACCCACCTCCTTGCCCACACACTATTATTCATGAGCTCGCTGACAATGCAAGGCCAGAGCCTCACATGAGAAATCCAGGCCTGACCTCTCTTTGCTTTCCCAGGTGATCGTGGAAAAAGTCTCAGGCTCTCAGATTGTTGACATTGACAAACGGAAGTATCTGGTTCCATCTGACATCACTGTGGCTCAGTTCATGTGGATCATCAGGAAAAGGATCCAGCTTCCTTCTGAAAAGGCAATCTTCCTGTTTGTGGATAAGACAGTCCCACAGTCCAGGTAAGAGATGTTTACTGGTATTGGCCATCTGCTTGGCTCCTTACAGAACTCAAAAATTTTGGAGGTCTGAAAACTCTTAGATGTCCTAACTAGAAATCTGGATTTTTGTACTTCCTGATATCAGTAGCTCAAGGAAAATATGGGCTGCAATACATGAGAGTGTATTTTGAGTTAAGAAAATAGAACAAGACCTGGACTTTTTAAAAAATTATTAATATATTTTATTGATTTTTTACAGAGGAAGGGAGAGGGAGAGGGAAAGAGAGTTAGAAACATTGATGAGAGAGAAACATCAATCAGCTGCCTCCTGCACACTCCCTACTGGGGATGTGCCCGCAACCAAGGTACATGCCCCTGACCGGAATCGAACCCGGAACCCCTCAGTCCGCAGGCCGACGCTCCATCCACAGCCAAACCGGCCAGGGCTGGACTTTTTTTTTTAATGAAGAAATTTAGTCTCAACCCCCAAGAATCCTCTAAAACAGCTGAGGACTCTTAGGCTTAAGTCACCAGCAGAACTGAAGCCTGAAATAATTTTCTCCAAATGATTTATGAAATAAGTCCTGTCATTCTCCACCAGAAGCTTGGCCTTGCTGAGGCTCAGCTTTAGTTAATCACCCTGCTTGCTTGCTCTCCGAGTTCAGTCAACTCTGCAACTGTGAGTCTCTTGCTGTACCTGATCTTCAATTCGCTAAAATGGCTGCCGTCCAGCAAAGGGCTCTGAGGTCTCTCTACAGATAAGCCTCCCTCAGTGCCACCTGTTCTCACTGTCAGAGTCTGACTGTGGATAGGGGAAAATGGACAGGCTCAGTCTAATTCCCTGGTCAGTCCTTTCTTGTTACTGATTGAATACTTCTAGGCCCTGTGCCAGACGCTGGCCCCTGTCTCCTGAGTGTGAGTTCCTGGCTGCATCTCATCTTTGTGACCCAAACTAAGTTTAATTTGTTGCGCTCCCCCTCTCCCCCTCCTAAAGTAGTACTTGTAAAAGCTAAGGTTTTCAGAAGCCCTGGGAACTAGCCCAGTGTGGCCAAAAAAATATATTCCTTTTGAAAATCCTTGAAAGCTCTAGAAGAGGCCTAGGCCATATTCTAATCCTCTTCCCACAAAAGGTAAAAAGCTCTATTTTTTTGTCTTAAAAACCAAAAAGCAAAAATGCTATGTTTTGGTCTGATTTGCTCTTTCCTAATCTCCATCACCTCCCCTTCCTGGTGTTAGGCAGAGAAATGGAAGGTTCTTCCCTAAGGTTTGTCGACATAAGAAATGCCCAAACATGTAGAGAATTTTTATAAGTTTATTTGAGCCCAAACAGATGGCACAGTTGTTGGTAAACAAGATCACAAATCCTTGGGAGAGTGACAGTTTTTCAGTTTCTTTTATGCATTTGAAATTAAGGAAGTAACATAATGAAGATTACATGCAGGTAGGAGAAAGCAAGGTGCGAACTAGATTACAGGATAGTTAAGATTATGTGCTTTCTTGAGGATGGAGTTACACTTATTTCAAAGGTATATTAACCAAGATGCACAAGAACAATGGGACAGGGTTTGCTTAAGGCAAAGATGAATCTTTAACTAAAAAAGTTATATGCTTGGGGTGTGACTAGCCATCATGACCTGCTCGTTTATAATTTGTGATCAGACGTGGCCTGTGTGCCTCAGTTGGTTGAGTGTTGTCTCATGCATCTAGAGGTTTCTGGTTCAATTCCTGGTCAGGGCACATCCCTCGGTTGTGGGTTCAATCCCCAGTAGGGGGCGTGCAGGATACAGTCAATGGATGTTTCTCTCTCATTGACGTTTCTCCCTCTCCCTACCTCTCTCTCTAAAAGAAATAAAACCACATTTAAAAAAAATGTGTGATCAGCCCTGACCGGTTTGGCTCAGTGGATAGAGCCTCGGGCTGTGAACTGAAGGGTCCTGGGTTCCATTCCTGGTCAGGGTGCATGCCTGGGTTGCGGACTCGAACCCCAGTAGGGGGCATGCAGGAGGCAGCTGATCGATGTTTCTCTTTCATCAATGTTTCTAACTATCCCTCTCCCTCTCTGTAAAAAATCAATAAAAAAATATATATTTTAAAAAGTGTGATCAGATCATCCTGTGAGGTTACTTTCCATAGAATTTCTTTTTCATCCACAGGCCTATGTCCTGCCTTCTGGGTGCTGTTGGTCTGCTATAGATGTTGCTCAGGGAGCTGTGGTTTTGCCAGGGGTGTCAAGCCAGAGTTGGACTCTTCTAGCCTTCCTTCTTAGGCCTCTGGGCATGTGGAGCTGGGCACACTGTTCACCAGGGGAGGGAGCCCCACCCATGTGTGGTCACTCGGCTTCCCTTAAGGTGGTAGGGAAGGTAAATCTTCATTCGTATTACCTGCAACTTCTGCAAGCCTTTGAGACTCTGTTTCTTCCTTCCTGGAGGTGGCTTCTTAGTGGGAGGAAGTAGGTCACTATTACCTATGGCATTGAGTTTATTTCCTTGAATTTTGATCCTCTGATATTTAAAAGGAAATGAAGCAGGCTTCTGAGGCCATTAAGATTACTCCACGTTAATCTCACAATTAAAATGGCTGCAAATTTTTAGCAATTACTCCCCTCCCCCCATTGTCCCTGAGATATAAATAGAATTAGAAATGAAAAGTGATTCTTAGGCAAGCAGAGGCTGCTTCAGAGCCATTTTCTCTCCAGTTCTCATTTGCCTTTCCAACCTGGTAAGAATCTACCCTAAAGCAGATCTACACCAGTGATCCAAGTCAGGATTTGAGTCACTAATGAGGGCCCCTTTGCCCATGCCCCCAGTGCCTTTGCCCCAGTTAATGACTTCTTGCTCCACACTTAAAGCAGCAGTGATTTGTTTGTTTGGGGGGGGCGTGTTATTCTTAAAATCACATTTGTTTACAAACAAGTGACATCATGGGGCTTTATGCAAATGCTAATCACCTAACAGCACAAACAAAATTGCCTCAGGGTTGCCTTCCTAAAGCTGGTGTGTGAGTCAACTTCTCTCTCTCCTTACCCAAGGCAGGTTAGCAACCATTTTCTCAGCTCTTTCCAGACTCCTTAGGGAAGCCCAGAGCCTCTCTTAACCTGTAGCCAGTGTTTGCTGCTTCATAGATGCTGGGGAAATGAGTCAAGAAAGGATGAATCCAACCCTACAGAGCCCTTCCCCATCCAGCAAGGTCTGCACTAGGATCATTTATGCTGAGGCTGAGCGATAGTGACTTCCATTATACCTGCCTTGGAGCAGGACTTTGGCAGTGTTCTGAACACAGGCGATCACCATATAGAATGTTGTGATTATTGTTTACAGTGGTTAGTATTAAACTAGAGGCCCACACTGGTGGGGTCCCTCGGCCTGGCCAGTGATGGGGCCAATGAGGGGGGGGGGGGGCGCGGCTGACCTGGGGAGGAACCGCAGGAAGTTGGCTGTGGGAGCACACTGACCACCAGGGGGCAACTCCTGCATTGAACATCTACCCCCCTGGTGGTCAGTGTGCGTCATAGCAACCACTCGACTGGTCATTTGGTCGCTTAGGCTTTTATATATATAGATGTTGATTCTGGAAATAGACACAGGCAAGTCCCTAAGAGTTTTACTTCCTAAATTCTTTCTGAGTTCTGTTTTTTAAAAAGGGGGATCACAACTGCCTTCTCACATTTAATATTGGAAAGTTGAGTTCTCTACCTAAGTGCCTGCATCCAGGATCAGGCTAAAAACCAAAAGAGAACTATGGGTTGGTGCAGATAGGACCTGAGAAAGCATGTCAGTGTACAGATTCTCAGTTGTGGCATTGGAGGGGAACCCTGACCCGGCAGTGGTGCCTACCTTTTGGCCTTTTGTTTAGAACGCAGATAAGAGTTTTGTTCATCTATGTTTTAAATAGAAACAGGAGTATATTATTAAATAAAATATCTCTAAGATGTGATAATTTGGAAATGTTACATTGGTAATCCTGTACTGTTTAAGATTAATCGTGTTGAGTTGGTTCTCAATCTTAAAAGAGGTACTAAGGCCTTAGCTGGTTTGGCTCAGTGGATAGAGTGTCAGTCTGCAGACTGAAGGGTCCCAGGTTCAATTCTGGTCAAGGACACATGCCTGGGTTGCGAGCTCAATCCCCAGTGGGGGGTGTGCAGGAGGCAGTTGATCAATGATTCTCTCTCATCATAGATGTTTCTATCTCGCTTCCTCTCCCTTCATCTCTGAAATAAAAAAATATTTTTTTAAAAAAGAGGTACTAAGTAAAAGGAAGTTGTGTTGTTGTATAGTCCATTCAAACTTTATTTATTTATTTATTTATTTATTTATTTTTTTAAAATATATTTTATTAACTCTTCAATAATGGCGTTTATTTCAGCCACTGAACAAGGTTTATTATATGAGAGAAAAATCTGATAAAAGGAATAAGCAGAAATTAATTTTTATGTTTCAGAATTTTTATGTTTGGGGAACTCTCAGGGTCATATTAACTTTCACTTTGAGGCCAATGTCTTTCCAGGATCCACAGCAGTGGCCATTGTCCTCCCACCTCACCCCATCTATCTATACCCCTGCTGGAAAAGAGATAACTCCAGGTCCAATGGAAGCATGTGTGCTTCAAAGCAGATGGGTGGCCAGGTGTGCCTATCAATTAGCTAATTCATGAGTCAGTTTAGATCCCACAATATACATGACCTGACCTTGGTTGAGGGATAAGGGGGGTTCTGCAGGGAAAGGGCAGCCACACAATTCTAGGTCAACCTCCTGATTTATAAGCTGTTGAATAGTTTAAAGCTAAACTATTTATATAAATAGTTTATTTAAATATTTTAAAGCAGCATGGCCATTCCTGGATATGGATCCTTCTAAAAGGCTATTGGTTAGTTTGTTGGGATCTGTGACCCTGAATGGAACATTGGGAGACAAGGTTTTAGGGGATAATTTAGGTTCATTCCATTCAGTACTTCAGGGTCCCACCACACCTTAGATTGGCTCCATGTCTTGGGTCTGCCAATTGGTTTTTCCGGTCTTTCCACA